AGTCAGTGGAGCTAGACTAGGGGTTGGTTTAGTAATAGTCTATCTAGACACAGCGTCGCACATCTTCTTGCGGCTACATTGATGTATTAGGGAGAATTGTAAACGTGTTTTAGGTCGGGAGTTTCTAGAGTGACTGTGAAATGGGTGGTGAGCAGAGCGGGTGTAGACATTTATGATTATGGCGGGGTTTTGGAGCGATAAGAGAGATCTAGGGGTCGGGAGTCTGGTGGTGATCGCGAGAGGAAGCACACGAGCGTGTGCGCGTTGCGTTGTCTTTGTGCAAGATGGAAACACTGTGTGCGAGCAGTTATTAAAGTTTATTCCGGTTACACACAAGTTTTAGATTTCTATATCATCATTTATACATCGAACTTTTATTTCAACGTTACAGTGCAAGCCGGGGGTCGGGCCAATATTGGCAATGTCGGGCCGATATTGGTGCCAAGATTAAGTGATATTGGGACAATATTGGCCCGATGCTGTTGTGCAGTCTGGGAATCAATGATTACTCTAGCAGACTGAAGACTGAATCAGTGAATAGCGTGATTACCTAAATATTTTTGCTATATGTACACTGAAAATCTTGCTTGTCAGGCCAATGGATAAAAAATGCTAACTTGCTGGCCAAAATTTACCAAGCTGGTAACAAGTTGAATATGTAATTTCACATCACATGCCTAATTATTAGGCTAATAGTAATACTAGTAATAATATGAATACAACCAGCCGAGCTCTGTTTACCGACGTGACCTGGAAGTGACGTCACGATTACGCGGAAGTACATCTGATTGGTTAACACAAACCACGTGACAAAATATGCAAATGATCTCATGTACTGGCTGGAATATAGACACACCCTTATAGTACGGGTATAAACGTCATAATAATAAATAAATATATACATATATACATATATACATTGTATATTATATCAATATATAATATAATCTTTCATAATTGTTGTATATTTGTAGTAATCCTTAGTCAATATATTAGCCAAATAGTTAATTAGCCCACACCCAATCAGTTCATGACTACGGCAGACATGTATGACGTTTATACAAGTTCCATAAGGGGTGTGTCCGGTATGGGAGATCATTTGCATATTTTGTCACATGGTTTGTTTAAACGTCATACTTGCCTGCCGGCTATTGTTACGTTATTTGGCTAATATATTGGCTAAGGACTACTATAAATATACAACAATTATGAAAGACTATATTATATATTATATTGATATAAATAAATGTGATATATATACATATATATATTATNAAAAAAAAAACAAAGGAATCATACTTGAGATTAAAAAGGATTAGGAGTAATATATATAATATAAGAATACAGAAAATAAGAGCCCAAGTAAAAAGAGAGTAAGGGGATAAGGAGGGATAAAGAGATATAATAGAATTAAAAATAAATAAATAAAGCTAAATAGCAATACGAAGGGTAAATCTAAAATAATTAAATTATTATATTAAATAAATAAATAGAATAAACTAAAATAAATAAATAAATAAATAAAATTATAATAAATAAATAATGATACAAGTAAACAATATAAATTAAATACAATAAAAACAACAACCTATAATAGGCAAATCTCATTCCATGTGACATGCTCAATAATATTGTATCCTAGTCTGAATGCCGCGCAAAGTAGTTTTCTCTCACTATTATACACTAAGGTTCACCAACGCCGAACTCCAATTTGAAAAAACCCGGCACCAAGGCCAAATGATACATATGGACCTGTGCAGGAAAAAACACACGATCTAACGCCCCATTGGCGTACTGACTTGGCAAGTAGGTTCCTCCCTCAAAAATATACCTCAGGAACAAGGACGGGGACGGGCCAGGAGCTTGCGAACAATGTGCCCAGTCAGCTTTTAGAGTGTAGTTTGTACGATTATTCGAAACACCGAAGTACTGAGGGGACATCAGCGCAGATTTAGAGGAAAACGCGCATCGCAGTAGATAAGACGGTTCCGAAGTGTACATAAAGGAAATCGAATTCTTACTATTGACTATTAATATGGTGCTTAAATCTGCATCAGTATCACCTCTCTTCTAATTGGCACACGCGGCCGCGACGCGCGGCACGCGGCGCGCGCAGCACATGTCTGAAGACCATTAAAGTAAGTGATAGAATCAAAGTTCGAATTCGGCCGAGTGCACATGTGTGTGTGTCTGTGGGTGTGTGTTGTAGTGTGTGTGTGTGTGTGTCGTGTGTGTACTGTTTTGTGTGTTGTGCGTGCGTGCGTGCGTGCGGTGGGTAGCGGCGTGCGAGGACCGCGAGTGTCGGTGGTCGCACTTACCGGTAGGGCCAGCGAGTTAACGGTGTTCCCAAGATAATCGAAGTTGCGTAAGCCCCCGAGGGCGAACTGTGTGTGTTTTCTGCCAGTGGTCCGCGTTTCAGGATATCTGCGATCATACGAGACGGGTCCCTGCAGAAGTGGGAGCGCTCGTCCTACAGAGCGGAGTGCGCACTGCGCTGCTCTGGCTCCGAGCCGGACGCGGCGTCGGTCGCTTCCAGGCAGATCAGCTTGCGACAGATGCTGCCGGTCTTCGCGATGCTGTTCGCGGGCGTCGCCACCGGCCTGCTGCTCCTCCTAGCGGAGATTGTCGGCAAACAGCTAAAACAGCGCTCAGACGAACGGCTCGTCGCTGCCGAAAGTTTGGTGACCGCCGATCGCAGGTGACCGCTTATCACAAGTGACCGCTTATCACAGGTTGCCGCTTATCATAGGTGACCGGCTATCGCAGCACACACGCACACACGCCCGCACGTCCGCACGCACGCACACACACACACACACACACACACACACACACACACACACACACACACTTATATATATATGTGCGTTTGATCAGAAGGCCTATACAGGTTTCAGGTTTTTAATTATATGAAACCAATAGTAACATCTACGGTAATACATCCCAAACGCCATGTC